ATAATAAGGCTGTCAGAGCAGAGTACATAGTATGAAGCTTCTCATTATGTAGTTTAATTTATATTGTCTACAGCATTAATATCTGTGAGTTACACCCAAACATCTGTTTGTGCATAAAGAAGAACATGTATCTTTGCTAAATCAGTGAGAACAGATAGCCCTGCATGATGATGAACACCCAAATTTTGTAATAGTTGGCTGGATCTATGGCATTGTGGAAAAGAGAGTTAAGTTAAAAATTGGTAAAAATGAGAATTAGATCACATCCTTACTAAAACTTACATCTCTAAGCACAGTATAATTCAGTGACATAATGAATAATTTATACATGAAGTCAAGAGACTACAGCGCTGTCAAGTGTAGTTGGAGTGGGTAACTGTTTAGCACAAGGAGTATTGCTTCTCTCCAGGTATGATTTCATTCAAGATACTTCTCTGGTGCAAGGCCTCATATGTGATAGCTTCACTATTTCCTAGCTCTCACAGATGGTTTGTGTTGTGCTTGGATTATGAACCCCTTCTGAAACTGGCATAGTTGTCCAGAGATAAGGGCTAGCTGTGTCTATTGGACCCAACTGAGTAGGTTTTACCTGAAGATGGGGAGAGAAGCCAGTTCCCGAAATGCTGCGTTTTTTAAAAGAAACAGGACAGTTTTTAAAGAACAGACAAGATGGTGGATAATGTCCAACAACATATTAATTGTAACAATTTACCATCGTCACAAAATTTTAGATCTTATATGTATCATTGAGTTAAATACATTATTGCTTAAACATCTGAAGTTTTTATTCTTGACCCATAAAGTGACATTTCATGACTTAACTCTCTTTTTCATGACACTGCATAGGCATAGATACTAAGTACGTTAACAAAAAAGTTACATAATGCACTTACAGCTAGAGTTGTCCTGTGTTTGTGGTCTAGTATTTGTGTATGAGTGATAAGCATTCGTTGCATATATTCCGCACATTACTGCTTTCAGATTGACAAAAAGTTAATGCAGGCAGCTGGAATGGTAGGTCGAGTGCGCCAAGAAGTTGCAATTCATTCACGCCTCAAACATCCTTCAGTTCTGGAATTGTATACATTCTTTGAAGATGTAAATTATGTATACTTAATCTTGGAACTGTGTCATAATGGAGAATTACAGAGATATTTAAAAAATAATTCCTTGATATTAGATGAAGGGGAAGGTAAGGACGTAGCAAACAAAAACATCAGACTCTTTTGTCGGTTTAAGGTTTTCTTCCATTTGATGCATATTTCATGTGTTTGCAGCTCTGTCATCATGGTGTTACTTTTCGTCCACCATGGTTTTCTTCAGTTTTGTATTCAATTTCTTTACCCTGTTACAAGCACTGCTTGGGAGTTTCATTGAATTTGGTTACTGTTGAATCTCAATTTATTATTCAAAGGTGAGAGTAAAATAAAGTTCACCCTATGCTTAATTAATTAAACACTATGCCATGAAGGTGGGGGAGTGGAGTTATAGCTCCACTATTCTTGACCTTGGCACTAGATGGTGATGAGTGGTCAGCTTCATGCCCCTGCTGCTTTACACTCTGTGAAATAGCCCCCGGAACCCATTGAGTAGGAGGCTGGGAGAGCCCCAGAGCAGGTCTGAAAACTGGAACATTCAGAGGACATTTGTGAATTTAAGTTTCCTCTAAAATTTTGTTCAGTGCAGTCAGCAGATCTCTTGTGTCCTATTGCCTTAAATGGAGAGCTTCTGTGATTCAGTTTTTAACTGGCTCAAGATACACATCATGTAGAGAGTGGTTTGACCACTAGCTATGAGTGATTCATAATGGCTTCATTTGGGTACATGTAAATACAGTTAGTTAAAGAATTAATCAAGGCATGTACAGGCTGATAATTGATCACAGTACTATTCATTGGCCCTTTGAAGCCTGGAATTTAAAATACTCAGTTACTACCTCATAGAAGAAGCTCTTTTACAAAGTGCAAGCAGTTAGTGCTGCTTAGGGATGTAACTGCTGTTCATCTTGAGAATCACATGAAACCCATAAATGCCAATTTTTTATTATTAAAATGCATAAAAAAGGTGAAGCTATCCCTGTAACAGGCTGTACAGGCCCATATGTTTGTGAAATATTGAAGCTCCCACATTTTCTAGACAGTCGGCTCATAGATGGCAGTGAGGTTGTCAGCCTTACGTGCCAGCCACCTTTAACCCCTAGGAAGATTCCTGGTACTCATTTCTGTTAGAGGCTGAGTTGACCCCAGGGCCATAGTACATCTGGTAGGATTAGATCAATTGAAAAATCCCATGACCTCAACAGTAAATAATAAGCCTGCCACCTTCCAGCTTGTAGCATAGTACCTGAACCAACTACGCTGCTGTGTGACCCGTTAAAATGTGTAGTATATATAATAACCACTATTTTAAGCATTGAATCTTGAAATTGTTTCAGTTAAATGAAACACAATATAACCCAATGTAACATTATTTGAATGAAATGAAATTCAGTTTTATTGACATACTGCTTATTGTTGAGAATGTGATTCAGCCTATGAATGATTATGCCTAGAAGCTGCAAGCTCTACATGCTTCTTAGGAGCTGTAGCTTGTTGCTGTAGTGATACTTTTCCTTATTACCTTCAGTTTATCTTCAATTCCATCACTGATATGTCTTTTCCAAGGTGTAATTATAATATAGAATGTTCTTAAGAATAACAAATAAAGCATAAGTGAAGTGCAGTGTGCATACATATGTTTCAGCTAAACAACTTAGATTTGTTTTCACAGATAATACACCACAGGTTGTGTATGACTCAACATATGACATGCTCAGGTACAGGTCTTTCAAATTCACAGAAGAGCCTGGAGTAGAGTTTGTTTGTATATACAGACTGAACTAGGTGTTGCACCTCAGTGACACTCCAGTCTTGCCATCCAATATCAAAAGAATACAGATTTCAAGAATCTCTTGTAAATAACATTTTTTTTAGAAAAATGATGGCAGTTCACGACAGAGGGGATGTTGTAGAATTTGAGGTTCTTATAGCAGTAGTTATGCATAGTTCTGTCTTCTGGGATATAATGCCATGTAGTCCATTGAAAATCACCCAACTTTGCTTAGGAACATGTTGGCTCTATCTTCAGGGTCAAAAAATAAACCAAGCAAGAAACCAGCTTGAAGCAGGTAGCAAGCAAAGCTGGAAGATTGGACTCTTCGGAGGGACTGTTGTTGACAGACACACCCATTGACATAATTACTGCCATGTAGAACCACCATGTACACACATAATCTCTCAGAGCATCATTATGATTTTATGGTGCAAAGAGATACACCAGAGATAGTAGATGCTTTGAAGTGTCCATAAGGAATATGCGTATTAAATGAATCTATGGGGGAATGATTTTGGCTGCTTTTTCAATTTCTTAATCTATACCCAGTCAGTAGGACTCCTTGGACGAGGAATAAGCTCGTCACAAGGCCTCTAGCTACACAGGAGAACACAAACACAGAATAAACATACACAGACATCCATGCCTTGAGTGAGATTTGGACCCATGATCCCAGTGTTCAAGCAGCAAAGATATTTCATTCCTTAGACTGTGTGGACGCTGTGATTGGCGGGGGAGTGACTTTTTTAACAAAATTGAGCTTTTTCATTAAATAGGAGTTACTCAAAATTACATCAAGAAACTGTTCATCTTCTTGCAATATTTGTTGTATACTATAATTGTAGAGAGACTCATATTATATAAATAGATACATTTTATACTGAAATAAATACAATTATATGTCAGTAATAAATATATTCTAGAATAATTAATAGCATGTGAAGTAAACATTGTGGTTTTTCAAATTGGTTTCCAGCAGTGAGAAAATGCGAATATAAATTCTGAAGTTTTGAAAGCAGTGATTACCACATTCTAGTCTCCTGGTTTCTGACATTGTGCACTCTTGTGAATGGGTACCTCTCCTTACAATGTCACAGTTTAGATAGCTACAGCCTGAAGAAAATGTGAATAGTGATTATTGTTTTGACCATGGTCAGATAAATCAGTGTGTGATTTGTGGATGATAAAATATTTCTTACTCTAGATGGAAATTGATTAAATGCAGGAAAGTAATACATTGTGTAGGATTTGAGATGCCGATCACAGTGACAGTTCGGTCTAAGGTGTGAAGTGTCTTCATCCACTCGAGCACTTGGGTCATGGGTTTCGAATCCCACTCAAGGCATGGTTGTCTGTGTGTGTTTTGTCCTGTGTGTAGGTAGTGACCCTGGGATGGGATGATCCCCATCCAAAGAGTCCTACTGGCTGTATATAGGATTAAAAAACTGAAAAAGCAGCCAAGGTCCAAAGGACTATAGAGCCATAGAGAGAGAGAGAGAAAGAAAGGGATTTGAGGTTCTCACTACAGTGATTATGAAGAATTTTAACTTCTGGTATATAATGCCATGTGGTCTGTTGAAAGTCAACCGACATTTTGGAGCAGCTTGCCACCTGCTTTCATTACTCTGAATTGTTAGTTGACTTTCAATAGACTACGCAGCATTTTATCCCAGAAGGTAACTCTTCAAGTAATATATTGTTTATATTAGGATTTGACTCTAGCCCGAAAATATATACACTAACTTGGCAGTTCTTTGCACTGGTTAATACAAACTCAGGATATCACTTTAATGGGGATGAAGATTGAATGCAGTGAGTGACCACTGAATTTTTTCCATCCCTATCTCTGTCCCACTGCATGGTTGATGTTCATATAGAGAGATAGTGCTCTCATCTTTATTTGTGGATTAAATGTAAACTTTACTGGTTACTCTTTGTATCGTTTTAGTGTTTTGTAAGTTTGAGTTATGTGTTTTGTAGTCTTACTCATGGGACTAAGCCCTTCTTGAGGAGCCATCAATTCTGCAGCTACTGAAGAATTTCCCAGCATTTTGTGGAACCTGAAGGTTCATGAATGTGTTCACAAGGGATCTCCACTGGTTCCTATACTGAGCCAGATCAGTCCAATCCATACCATCCAATCCTATATCTCTAAGATCCATTTTAATATTGTCCACCCACCTATGCATTGGTCTTCCCGGTGGTCTCTTTCTTTCTGGCTTTCCCACCAATATCCTATATGCATTCCACTTCTCCCCCATTCATGCTACATGCCCTGCCCACCTCATCCTCCTTGACTTCATCATTCTAATTATACTTGGAGAAGAGTAAAAGTTATGATGCTTCTCATTATGCAGTTTTCTCCAACCTCCTGTCACTTCATCTCCCTTTGGTCTAAATATTCTCCTTAAGACCCTGTTCTCAAACACCCTCAGTCTATGTTCTTCTCTTGATGTCAGAGACCAAGTTTCACACCCATACAGAACCACAGGCAAAATTATAGTTTTGTATATTCTAATTTTTATGTGTTCTGTAGTCAGTGATGGTAATTCTGTGTCTGTTTTCTTTCCAGCCAGTCACTTTTTTTGTCAGGTTGTTCGGGGGCTGTTGTACTTACATTCACATAACATTCTGCATCGGGACATATCTTTGGCTAACCTGCTGCTGACCAAGGACATGAGAGTAGTAAGGACCACACTATTATATTGATATTAGTAAATAAATTTGTGCAGTGAACTCTTGATTGTCTATGGTAATCTAGGAATTCCCACTGTGCATGCTGCATTTGAACCTGCAGTTCATTTAATTATTAGTTACTGGTTGTGCTCTGATCATGAAACAGTGAGACTATCTTGCCACTAGAAGATAGTGATCATTTTTCAGCGGTAATATGTTTGGGGGCTCGGGGCTAGGAATAAAATAATAAAATAGAAAATTGAAATTGTGAGAAGATCCTGAGTCTACCACAAATCATTGTAAATCATCACTGATATATTTCAGGGAAACATTTAAATCATTACAGGGAGCTGTAATCAGTAACCGATGGGTTTTAAAAGTTCCACAGTTCATCCACAAAGTGGATAGTCTGCATGCCATCAGAAAATTGAGTGTCTGCTGCTTGCGTAAGCTGTGTTACACTGACATCTTCAGTGTTGACTGTGGAGAGAACTGGATTCTGAAGTTTTACAAATAACTATATATCATTTTACTTTTGCTTCTTGCTTGTAAAATGTTGGTTTCATAACTAAAGTTTTTCAAGTTCTGTTATTTTCTTTGTTTACTACTGAATGTTTAAGAATCTTAAATGAGTTTTGATTTTGAACTAATACTGTTTTAGTTTCAATGTGTTTTTTAAGTTAAATTGCTCTATATGTATGTTTAAATACAAGTAAATGTTAAAACTTTTAACTTTGATGTTACCAGATTGCAGATAATACTGATGAAACTGTGTTCCAGATTATCCATGCATAAATTATAGGAGTGTAGTTTATTAATGTCCCTCTTTTGGATATGAGTGCGACACTGTGGGGCACTTGTTAAGTTTGCTCGGTCCATCCATCCAAACACATGAAACAACTTGATAACCGCTGGACAGATTTCATAAAATTTGGTATTGGAGAATTATATGACAAATTGTCAAGCCTTCTCTATTTTAATTTGTGTTAGACAGTATTAATGGTCAGAATTAGTGGGATTTTGGACTTTGTTCATTGTTCAGTATTCTAAAAATGCAATGTTACAGAAACTGGATCTGTTTCTGTCCTCGGATGGGGGGAGGCACTCTTTTGGGTTCTTTAGACATCAATCACTGGCCATCCCATGTCATAACTACAGCTGTGTAAATACCTGAAACCAGGCTTTGTTGAAGGTGATAACAGGAAAATATGCAATAAAAAGTGTGATAAAGTATACACAGACATGGAACTAAAATAGAAATGGAGGTGAAAATTTCTATGCAACAGACCTAGCCAGCAAACTAAGTCCATGAAAACCAATGCAGAAGATCAACCCTTTTGAGCGGTCATTTAAATTCCGCTGCCGTGTCTCTCCGGNGGACAGAGCCCAAAGCCCAGTAATTCTGTGTTATACACCATCATCAGAACCCCTTAGAATCTAATATTAATGGTTGTTATACACGGAAACCTATATCTGCCTCTGTGTGTATCTGAAATGTAGCTAAGGAAGTATTCGCTGGATTGGAACAAATTAAGGGCAATAATGGAACACAGTTGACATACTCAGTACCCTTTTTTGACAAGTCTGACAGTGCTGTAGATAATTAAACAAATTGGATACTCTGCATACATTTCCAAATTTTTGTACACAACAGTCACAATAGTCTTGGATTATCCATGTGTTTGTACTCTTTGAGCATCTTTCCCTCTTCACTATCATGGATAACAAGGAATATATTACCAGACACATAAGTTAGGTAAGTATAATATGCTATACAGTTACATACTTACTTATATTGAGGCATTTTTTCAAAGTGATCCTTCATCCTATGTGATCGTGAGGCCGTAGCTTATTTAAGATTTTGTCACCTGGAACAGTTCCTTATGGAACCAAGTGACTGCTATGCCCCTGCCATAGGCAAAGTCTTGCATTTCATTCAAAATATAGGGTTGATAAAGGGTTAACCAAAACGTGGAAGCACAGTAGATCATTGAAGGTCTCAGTGCAAGGGCAGGATTATTGTGGTCTACACTTCACACATTCATTCAATGTTCCTTGGTTTACAGAAAATTGCAGATTTTGGACTAGCAACACAACTGTCCCGTGCAGACGAGAAGCATCTCACTATGTGTGGAACTCCAAACTATATCTCACCTGAGGTAATGTGAAAATGTTTTAGACATTGTAAATACAAACTGAAGAGAGCCCTTGAACTTCCTTGAATATGAAGAATACTATCTTCCGGGATGTGGCAGCGTGTGGTCCTAGGCAAGAACATGTTGTCCCCTCCTTCATTGCTGAAGAGTAACTCAACCAGCAGACTGAGCACTCTGCTTGCTTTTGTCCGGTTGCTTACGTGCCCTACTCTTCGGTCTGTGCTCCTCTGAAATGGCTCTGTTTCCTGCTTCCTTCTTGCTGGTCACTTGCCTGGCTTGCATTTTGAGTTTGAAGATGGAGCCTGTCAGTTGTTACAGAACATATCATACTTCTACCGGAATACTTGCAGTCATCCCACTGTGGGATCTTCAGCAACATCTCTCATAAGTATGATTTAATGAAGCGAATGGAATAGCAATATGTATGAACGTTTGTTGCCATATTAAAAGAATTGTTTAAGTTAAGGGTGCATTTTTGTGGGATGTGACATCATGTAGTCTTTTAGATGAATACCAACATTTTGGAGGAACATACTCTGCAACTTCACATTCCAGAAGGCTGCAGTCTTAACATATACCATCTGACTTAGGAGTTTTTGTGCTGTCTAAGTGCAATGTCATCCACTATTCTTTCTTCGTATTCCTTTATTGGACACTACCTGTTTCAGCCTAACTGGCCATCTTTAGGTGTACAGGTTGTTGTGGTTAAGGATTCTGCTGCTCACTGTAATGCTGTTTTGTTTCCTGCTATTGTAGTTGCTTCTGGTTGTGTTGGTTATTTGGGTTGCATGTGATTGCTTATGGTTTTGTTGGTTTGCTGGTTGTGGCTGCCTTGAGTGTTCTTGCTGGGGCAGGAGAAAATCGCATTACAGTGACCAGCAGAATCCTTAACCGCAACAACCTGTACACCAGATGGCCAGTTAGGCTGAAACCTATAGTGTCCAATAAAGGAATATGAAGAAAGTGGACAACATTGGTCTTAGATGGCATGAAAACTCCTAAGTCATATGTATACAGTGCAACAAGATGCTGAAATATAACATTATTAACATATACCAGCGTGAGAAGACTTCATATTTCATATACGAGGAACATTGTACAATGGAACTGCCATTTTATGTTCCTCAATTTGAGGATTTCCCTCATTTAATGTTCAATGTTAGTAATTCTAAATGAATAATTTCAGAGTTAAATTACTTCGATATACCTTATTTTCTTAATTTATTGTTCAAATCCATTGGTACACAAAGTAAACCTTAAATGCAAGTTCCACAGTGATTTGTATTGAAGTGCATATAGTATTACCTCTGCATAACAGGATCATAGTGCCAAGATTTTGGCCTTTTTATGTAAAGATTTGTTTTGTATAAAGTGTTGAGTATTGTAATTAATTTGTGATTTATGGTCATTTTGTGTATGTGACATTGAAAGTGTAGACATATATTTACAATTTAAACTATAAAGTAATACCAGGAATGATGGTGATCACTCTCTAGTAGTGCCATACACCTTCCATTACTTTGTTTTCTGCTCATGTGCATACACGTGTGTGTGTGTGTGCACATGTTAAAACAACAGGCAATGTTAATACCAGGATATTTGTCATTTAATACATGCACACATCTGTTAACATCAAAGATGTCCATGGTGAATAACAAATTACTAAATTCAAGATAAACAGGAGAATTTTAAAGTGGGGAAAAATGGACTGAGAGCCCAAAAATTGAAACACAATTTAACAAAGCCCTTTCAATAAACAACTTTAATGCTGAATATATGAATGCATATGTATGGTTGCTTTGAGATTTAGTTAATTGAGTTATATTTCAAATTATGAATAATGTTGGTAGATGAACAGTTTTTTTATCACAGTATAGGGATCCTATGGCTTACATGAATTTTGTATTAACACAATTTTCTAAGAAGTTTTTAAATTTAATTCTTTAGTGAGGGGAATATGGTAGCATAGTTTGTTGAGGTACTGTGCTACACGTCTAAAGGTCATGGGTTCAAATCGTGATTAGGTCATTGGCTTCTTCAATTGAGCTAATCCTTCCAGCTGCACTATGGCCCTGAGGTCGATTCAGCCTCTAACAGAAATGAGTACAAGGAATTTTCCTGGGGTTAAAGAGTGGCCGGCGCATAAGGCTGACAACCTCAGCACTATCTGTGAGCCAATTGTCTAGAAAATGTAGGAGCCTCAACGTCTTGCAACCCTATGGGCCCTCATTACCTTTGCCATTACCTATACCTATACCATTACTTTTTTTTTTTAGTGAAGACTGGAAGTAATATTACCTGTTTAAAGTGCAAAGGTGAGGATTCATAAAGAGTTAAAATAAATCATTAAAGTTAATTTAGTTACGTATTATTCTGTGATAATTAAATGTGGTGAAACAAAAGGCATAACAAAAATTACCACAAATTTTGAGTTAATTCTGCAACTCTTGATAAAGCAATTTCGTCATAATAGGTGGATGCCTGTGTTGAATGCTAACAAAGTTTCATATTTATACGTAGATGAAACATTTTGTGTTACAGGTGGCAACCCGTAGTTCACATGGGTTGGAGGCAGATGTTTGGGGCCTTGGCTGCCTGCTGTACACGCTACTGGTTGGGCAGCCTCCTTTTGACACTGATGCTGTCAAAAGTACCTTAACAAAAGTTGTGATGGCTGATTACAAGGTCAGGGTTATAGGTCAACTTATTCATGGACAGTTGTGAGCAATTGTTCGTGCAAACATCTAAACCATTTTTTCCTTCAGATAATCTTGTTTTTAATGATTGTCATTCAGAAAGGTTTAGGCTCGATATTTCGTAGTGGGTGCTACCCTTCTCTTTGGGTTTGTTACAGAACTCTTGGATGGTAAAATGGTAAATTCAAAGAAATCGTATTAAAGTTGGGTTCTTGCGCAGTAATTGAAAGTAACATTAAAATAGAAACCAGTGAAGAGTTCATTATATGCAGTAATCAAAGGGACAGATGGTCTGATTCATACAAAGCAACTGAAAATTGGAAAGTGATTTTAAATTTAGCCCAGATTTGGACTACTCTGTTGTACATAATTACTTTTTAACGTGTTATATATTCTTGATATTTATATCATGATGGCTGTGCCATAGCTCAAATGGTTAGTCGCTGGCTTCCCATCATGGTGGCCTGGGTTTGATCCCTGGTCTGGTCAGGTGGGTTTTGTGGTGGACAAAGTGGCACTGGTGCAGGTTTTCTCCGAGTACTTCGGGTTCCCCTGCCAATCTTCATTCCACTGATTGCTCCACAATTACCATAACCAATCATCTGGGTCTGGTACAATAGGCCAGAAGTGGCCGCAGTACGAGGGACTTAGTCCCACCCCACTAGCAATAAAAAAAATACTTCATGATCTTCTGGGTTGTGAACACCATGCAGGTTTTTTTGTGGCTACTGAGATTTTTAAGTAACTTAACTGCTTCCATCTTCAGGGTTGAAGTATGTAGGTCAAGGAACAGACTCAGGTATATAGGCAAGTTACAAGCAAGGTGAAAAATACAAGTGTTGCAAAGGAATGAACCTCTGAGGTTGCATTTAGATTCTGTTTGCCTCTTTCAGCAGGAGAAAACATTTGAAGGTATGTGTTCTAACAAGTTCTGAAGTTTTTTTTTTCAGGGGTGGGTGATGACTTTCCATCCCTGTCAGTATACATCTACATATATATTGCTACTTGTAAGACATCCTGTCTGCAGTTTCTGTTTTATTTGCAGGTACCATCACATTTGTCAGTTCCAGCAAGAGACTTGATTGATGCATTGTTAAAGAAAAATCCGAGAGAAAGGTTACAGCTTCGAGACATCATGGATCATCCTTTCATGAAACGCGGGTGTATGCAAGAATTGATACAGCAGGTATAGTTCTCCCTTGGCAAAGATAGAGCCAAAGTCGACATACTTACTTACGGTGCTGAGCCCTTCTTGAGGAGAAGCCAAATCTGAAGCTACTCAAGAATTTCCCAGCCTTTTATGGAACCTGAAGTTTCATTACCATGTTCACAAGAGCCCTCCACTGGTCCTTATACTGAGCCAGATCAACCCAATCTATACCATCTCATCCTATATCTCTAAGATCATTTTAATATTGTCCACCCACCTACGACTTGGTCTTCCCAGCGGTCTCTTTTCTTCTGGCTTTCCCACCAATATCCTATATGCATTCCTTTTCTCCCCCATTCATGCTACATGCCCTGCGCACCTCATCCTCCTTGACTTCATCATTTTAAATATACTTGGGGAAGAGTAAAAGGTATGGAGCTCCTCATTATGTAGTTTTTTCCAATCTCCTGTCACTTTATCTCTCTTTGGTCCAAATATTCTTCTCAATACCCTGTTCTCAAACATCCTCAGTCTATGTTCCACCCTTCATGTCAGAGGGTGGGTCCCTTGTCACCACAGCATGGCGTGTCCTCAGGTTGTGGATGGAGGAGACCCCCTCCAGGTTTGGAGGGAAGCTGCAAATATGTTGTATAAGTAGTCGCGGACAGCCGACAAGGGGTGGTCCTCCAGCTTGGGCGTTGGGCGTGTGGCTAAGAACTCCTCACCATAAAAAATAATCATGATACAAAAATGAACACAGAGCCTTGGACCTGGACAGATCCTTTGGTTAAACGACCTAGGCTGAAGAAGGCCGTGCCATAGCTCAAGTAGTTAGTTGCTGGCTTCCCACCATGATGGCCCGGGTTCGATCCCGGCTCTGGTCAAGTGGGATTTGGGGTGGACAAAC